GATCTTACTGTTATAGTAATATGTAATACACGAAAAAAAAATTTTTTTAATAAATGAGAAGACATAAGCTAAAAAAGAAAAAAAATTATAGTGATACAAATTGATAATCGTGGCGTAAAAAATCTTTAAAATTAAAAAATTAAAATTCCCATTATTTATGGTCAGCACTGTATATTATTGTTACTCTAGAATATTTCTTATCTTATTTATTTATTTTTATTCTTTTATCTTTGACAAAACATTTATTACCATAATAATATATATTGATAAATCAAAAAATGGCAAGTCAGTTACTTTACCAATTCAAAGTTTATATAACTAAAGATAGATCAAAATATATAAAACTAATTTGACCAAACAATTCTTTTATTAACAAGTTTTCTCTTTATTTCCAATATTAATTCTTCTTTTAATATAATTCTAAGCTATATTTTTATATAGTAATAATTATTTTTCATAAATGATACATACTTGAAAAGATATATTTAATAATTAAAATACTTTTTTTATAATGATCCAATTTTACTAATTGTTTCTTTTTTTATTAATTACAATATCTTTATTGTTTATTTTTACAATAATACTACTATTTATATTGACAATACAAAAAAAAAATAATTAAGAAAAAATAAACTATCAGTGCTAAAATAAATTATTAGATAAGTTATTTAAGCTTTTATAACTATATTTTTTATGTTAATTATTAATGTTACTCTATTATTTCTAGGATATATGATATAGTAATTATAGTACATGACATATCATATAACTTTTACTAAACTAACAATACAAATAACTGTTTTAATATTTTTTTTATATTTCTATTATTTAATATAATTTACATTTATTATATATGAAAATATTATATCTCAAACATATATATAAAGTCTTCAATTTTGTTTAGGAATTGACAGGATTAAACTTTTATTTTATTGAATAAATAAATTAATCTTTATAAAACAAATTATTATTGCCTTTTTCACTTGACCTTATAAATTTTCAAACTATACTAATTTTAATATACTTTAGAAACTTTAATATATCACATTGATTTTTTTAAACAAAGTATTTTCCTGTTATTAATTTTTTATCTTTATCTTTTTTTGAGGTAAAAACAATATATAACAATATAAATAATCATATTAAAATTATAAATATAATTATTATTTTACTAAAAGTATTTATTTTTTAATAATATAACAACAATATAGTAATAATATAGTAGCAATATAAAATTTTTAAGAATCAATAACAATTTAAATATAATTATATTATTATATAATATTATAGTAGCAATTCAAAAATAAAATAATTACAATTATAGTAATTATTTTACAATAATATAATAATATAATAATAATGTAAAAATAATTTGGATAGTAACAGAGCAGTAATAATATAGTTTCTATTTATATTTAGCAATATAAAAATAAGGTAATAATAATATAGTATCAATATAGTATCAATACAATAATAATGCAATAGTAATTTAATAGCAATATAATGTAATAATACAATAGTTAATAGTATTGTAATTATTTTATTACTATTATTCTACTATTAAATAAATATTAAGTAACAATTAAACAATAATATTTATATAAAATAAATACTTTCAATAAAATACAAAATTGATATATAATAATAGACCTATCAAATTTATAACTATATCATTAAATAATATATTTATAAAATTTTTATATGTGGTAGTTTAAATTATCTATGATTAATGTTATTTGAAATTTTTAGAAACAAAAATAAACATATGCAGTAAATATAATATAAAGTTCAAAAATAAAAACATTAGGATCATATTATTGTTTGTATTTGTATCATTTTGCATATATTATTTTTTTTAAAAAATTTAAATACTTTTATTTATATTAAAAAACATATTATTTATAAAATATATACAGTAAATTGTATATATATTCACTTTTATACAAAATTTAAATTTGTCAAATTTAACAAGTAAATATTTTTTTAAACATATTGTGTATGTTGTATAACTTTTAAAAACCTTACATCCATAACATAATTTGACTTTTAGAATAAACATAAATTCATTTTGTTAATTGTATTTTAATTCATTCACAATTCAATAATTTCAATAATTATTTTTTGCTATATTTATATTGTTATAGGAAAGGGGAGTGATTTCCCACACGATAATTAAAAGATGATAATTGGGATAATTGGGATAATAAAAACATGTATAAATATACTTGACTTTCATCAAATAAAAGCAGCAAGTGTGCTCATCTGATGAATAAACTTTATCTATGTAATAAATCCCTGCGTGTGTTCCATTTTCCCTGTGTTATATTTTCGTTTCGCTCGTGATCACATGACCTGATGACAAAGATCAATCAAATTCAATCGCCTCTTTCGCCTATAATACAAGAAAATGGTGTTGGCGTCGACACGAACCATATAGCTAAATCGTGCAAAGTGGGCCTACTTAGACTCGCCGTTTCCCATCGTTACAACATGTTTAAAGTAAATTTTTGACCGGATATCCGTGATTAAAATTATTTGCATAAAAAAAATTATCATCACAATACCGTTATACGTGTAATAATGTAGAATTTTAATAAATTTTTTATTGATTAAAATTTTATTAAAAGTTTATAATTGATATACCGTCATTACAGTATCAGTGAATTATAAATCTCCCCAATTGTTTTAACAAGTTTTAAAGCTCAACCGGAAAATCAGTAAACCGCAAGTAATATATTACATAGATTAATTTGGTGCTAAAATTCAAGGATCCAATGTAAATGCCCATGTGTGCTTGTGATTTTATATTATTGATGTTTTAATGTTAGTAAGTTTTTAGTTTCATCACTCGTTTTTTAGCATTTCATCGAAAAATTGGGCTGGTATTATTAAATTAATGCTCAGATATAGTGATTCTCGGAATTAGCCTGTTTATAACAATCCCCACATACCCACCGCCATCGTCCGTCTTTCATTACAACGCGTGTAAGACCACCTAATTCCATCGACTTGTCATTTTCTTTTAGGAATGCTTCGAGTTCCCTTAATGCAGCACCTTGAACAACTTTCATTCGGCCAATAGGATCGTTTTTTACTCTCTCAATATCTCTTGCATGCGTTGTATCAGTGATCTCCGAATCGAGAACTTGTGTCAATTGTTTAAAGTATTCTGTGGGTCGAGTCGAAACCTTACAAATAATGTCACTGACATTAGATGACATGGACGAGTTTGTAAGCAGACCAACCTAAGCAAAGAAAGCAAAAAAAAAATTAAGCTAAATTAAGATGATTGTAAGATAAAAAAAAAAAAAGAATCTTAAACTGACCCCAGCAGTAATAACCGTGGCCATAATGGATAAATATGGACCGGCTTTTGCCAGTAAAGGTTTCGGATCATGAATTTCATAACCTTCATGGCTCGTACAGTGGGCACCCCGGTTATCGTATTTTAGACCTTCGCAAAGAAGGTGCAGAACAAACGTGTTCCTTCCCCATGTGTGAGGTTTGAATATGCTATGTGAATCTTGACCTGGCAACAAAATATACAAGCGTGGTATTGAAGCATCCATAGTATCCGTTATGCTGTTCATCACAGCATCAATCTGCGAGAGGATGAGATTTGTTGTTTCTTGGAGAGTGGAGAGGATGGTATTGGTGTTTTGATTTACGGCCGTAATTATCTTGTTGGTTGACTCATTTTGTAATGAAGAAAGCTAATAAAAAGAAAAGTGCAAGATGGTAGGTGATTAGTGGCGAACGGCTATAAATGAACGGCACAATACAAATACCAACCTGCTTGGTGTCCAAACCCGAATTTAAGAGGGCTGATCGAAGGATTTGCTCGCACGAGATTCTTTTGGATGGGTTGACGGCTAACATTTTTTCCAACATATTTCTAGCTTGTGGATCTGAGATTTTGTTGAGTGGAAAATCGACTAATTCGCCTTTTGCAAAGCTTTTAGTTAATTTATCATTGGCTTCTTCTTCAGAATAGAAAAGTGGAGTGTGCGTGTATAGCTCGAAAATCATGCAACCCAACGACCATACATCCATCGAGGTTGAGGCGACGATAGGCTGATTTGTCTTTGCGGCATTAAGTACCTCGGCTGTTAGTAATATGATACGGTTAGATATTAGCGAGCATCACGAAAGTAATTTGTACCAGACGAACAGATACGTACGTGAACAATAAAGTGGGGAGCAATCATCTACCAATTCCTCGCCCGCAAATCTTGCAGCTTCGAAATCCACGAGACGCCTTTTCAATCAATATGCAAATAAGCAAAGACACATTAAACTTAAGATACAGATCATCAAAATCAACTTACCATGACGTGATATCGGACTTTTCGTGAACAAAATTACTTGGTTTGATGTCCAAGTGAGCAATTTTGTGGGTATGAAGGTAATGAACCGCTTGTGTGATCGATTTTATCAGGAGTTTAACATATAGGACATCCATGTTAGAGAGTTTTGTGAGTATCAACTTATCCATACTCTGAGGGTAATAATCCAAAATTACAGCATAAGGCCAATTCTGTTTCGGTTGAAATTCATACAATGCCAACAATTCACCGACATGGTGGGATCGCAGGTACTTGAGCATGACCACTTCGCGCTCAAAAGATTCAGATTTTTGGAAAAACTTGATGGCAACCTGATCATCAGTTTGTTCGTCAACAGCCTGACGTATCATATTGTTTCCACCGTAAGAAGAATTTCCGCTAAGCCGGTAACGTTGGAGGATGACCGTACCAGAGGGAGCTGACGGTTCTGCGAGAACAACATCTGGTTGATTATAAATCATGGCGGCAACCTTGTGACGGCCGAATATCTCATCCTTAAGTCGTGAACCAGGAAGAGGAGCGTGCATACGCATTGAATGTGGGGCTCCTGATTGTGCTGTTAATGTAACACTTGACGAATTCAAAGAATTCGAATATAAGATGGCATTTGGCGAATCGTAAGTTTTGTCGGATGCTGAGTCATACTTGGAGGGATACAGTTGTAAATTGGGATCGACGTCTGCAGAATTGAGATGATCTTTGTCGTTGAGCGGTTGAGCTTTGCTCTTTTTCCTGCGATAAAATAAAATACCAATGCAGACGCCTATGACCAACAAGATTATTACGGCCACAGCGATTCCGATATATATTATGGATGAGCTGGATTTCGCAGGATTATCACCATCCGAGCTACCTGACTGCGCCGTCTTTGAAGTGCCGGATGGGTTCGCAGTTGAAGTAGAAGAGGACTTTACTAGGAAAGGATCCGCTTGGTTGGGAGCCAGAGGGCCACCAACAAACTTATCCATCGGTGCATTCGTCACATAGTTGTAGGTTGTAACCCATGCCTTCTGAGTCATGTTGAAGATTAGTAAATCAGCAGTGTTTCCCATATAATAATTCGTGTCTCCTTGTGCGCTACTATTAATTGTACTGCCACCATAGGTCTACAAACGTTTAAAGTGCGAGTAAGAACATCATGAAAGTCCAAGGCAATAGATATATTCATATAATATACAGTATATTGGAAAAAAAAAAAAAAACATATATATGCGTACAACTAAAGCGTCACATCCAGGGAGTTGTGTGCTGGCGTAATATTCATGGCTCAACGTGGACATGGAGCCATTAACATAGGTATAGAAAGAATTGTTTGATAAAGTCTGTCAAAGAGTAAAATCGATGAGTCGAGAATTTAAAAAATTTCTTTTTAAGAAAACAAAGAAAACAAATTTGTGAAATAAAATCCTGTACCCAAACTCTCATGGAGGATTTCAAGGTGTCACTAGAACTAGAAGTTATGTAAAAGGTATCATTCAGTTTTCCCAAGTGTCCATCAAACCAGCCAGTAGACATGGTCGCTTGCGGGTCAAACCATTGACGTGTGGGGACATTGAAACCCCATACAGCAGCGAATACACCACCATTGAAATCCGAACTTCCACCGACTATGTAAACGTTGTCTTTTGAATACCCAATGCCAAAAAGTCCATTTGGAGGTGGAGTGGTTGATCCCTTTGGTATTGTCTCCCATGTCATGTTGCCAATGTGAAGTAGGTAGGTATCGTTTGCCGGTGATCCTCCAAATTGAAACAACACCTCATCCCCAAACGAAGTTTTAAAAATCACAAGCCTATGACTATTGACATAAGTGAGGTATTTGACGGTATCAAGATTTGAGGTTTTTGGTGTGTACCTTTTGGACGAATACGAAAGTCGTTAGTACATATCAATGAGAAACCACGGAATTCGACGGGCGCATTATTTACACACACCATTGACCACTTGTTCCTTTTGTTAGGTCGAAAGCCTGAATGCCTTGATAGTTAGCATCGTCTGACCCACCGCCCGTAACTAATAATATACCGGCGGAAGTTACGCCACACGCGGGTCGACTGCTCACATTATGGGCACCGGTTGTTGGCAATGCAACCCATTTCAGGCTCTGAGTGTTAAACGGAGCCTGCACGTAACTAAACCAACTATGCCGCACGTCATCACCGGCACCACCGAACACATAGATTTTATCGCCATAAGCAGCAAGACATGGGCTATCGCGAGGACCTGGACTCGGGTCAATGGTCGCTTGCTGTGCAACGGTTGAGAAAAGGAGTAAAAATGAGACTATGTATAATATGGAGATTTTTGATTCGAAAATAATGGTTGTAGACCGTGAATTCATGGTCGATGTTAACGTGGAAGGAGGGGAATAATTTTTCGATGCGCAGCAAACGAATGAGGAGTTATGGAGAAAGAGAAGGATGAATGAATATTGTATTAATTCTGAGGTAACCTGTTATATAAATGTAAGTAATTTAGGAAATTACCAAAAAGAAGTATTTTAATTAATTCTTTGATACCTGCAATATAAAAACAATTCCCTAATAAAGTATTAAATCGTGTACGGCGTATTAAAAATGGCGCGTCCCGAGTAACATCCTGGTGTTACATCTCGATTAGCCAATAAGAATTGATTGATTCATGAATTCCATCGAGACTTGTTGTTTAACCATACCGTCCAGTGTAACCACGTCTTGATCAAGAGATTTCTGGTTTCACATTCTTTTTCTTTCATAGTTCGGAATCTACCAACGATAGTGACACCAAAAACCGATTTTTCGCTACTGTAGCGAGGTGCGATCTCATGTCGCATGTCGATGTGACAACTTGCAGTGCGTGAAATTTTAACGTTTTTTCCACGCTTGTTAGCATAAGATTGCATATCCTGATCAACATACTGTGTTTTCGTTGCCACAACTGGTATTAATTTTTAAAATTTCTTTCTCGACGTTATCATAACATAAATACTAGATCTTGAAATGGAAATTTTTACGAGCATAAGTAGATATTTTTTGAGCAGCAACTTTTTAATCAATAAGAAAGCATGCATTATAAAGTTCACGTACAATGCATGGTTGAGGTAGAATTCATCTATTCCTGATCCATCGTTTTTTTTTTTTTAATGGTACGCATTTGGGTGTTTTCCAAGAAATAATGTGTTGTCACACAACTTATGATTTCGTTCACGTGATTTCCTTTTAAACGAACGATTTACAGTATTCCGGAATTGTTAGCATACATCGTCGCCGTGAAAGTTAACTATAGATTTCTTTTATGTCAACGCCGTGTAACTACGTTTTCTATGGTAGATAAAAATGGCATGCAATACTAATAAAAAAAAAAAAAATTAAACCGATGAAGGGCATTGCAGAAAGATTCTGTGTGACAAACACGGAGATATAAACGCGAGCTCTCCAAAAATATCATTACTTTAAAATTTTTTTTCCGCAAATAAATTATTGACTTAAATTGACGATAAACAATGACCTACAAGTTTTCTGATCTCACTTTTTAAACCATCAGTATCGTCTCGTTTTAATTTTGTGGACCTCTCGGTTAATTGATATCGTTTCTCTTTTTACGGTCACGGTTCTCCCTTGAATCAGGTTACAATTGTAAAACAATGAAGAGCATTATAATAAGTCATAATCTTCCTTTGTATACTAAAATTATTGCTATAATAATTAACAACTGTCCATTAAATGACTTAGAACGAATGAAAGTTCAAGCAAAAAAAAAACCAAAACCAAAGGCATCAAGAGGTGTAGCGAGCAAGAAAGCAAAAATTTGTAAACGCGGAAAATACACAAAACCGTGTGATTATTGTCGTCTTTCGCCCAGCAAAAAGAAATGCGTGCATGTTGAGAATTCCTGCGTAAAATGTAGGGAGAAAGGTAATGTATGCTCCAGAGAACTTACGAAACCAAACGATATGGGTAAGCTTCATTATTATCAAGTGTCGTAATCAATATATGCGTACCTGGTTGTGCATTCAAACCTTTTAACCGCTTTAACCCGTTATATGTTTAGGAAATCCTTCGACTTCTTTTGATCCGAATCTTTCTCAAGGTATGTTCTTATTTACACTTCAATCATTCGATACCAATTTCACATGCGCATTTGTTATGTTCAAGACATGACACCTTGGAATAACTTGGGAACGTCCCAAGAAGAAATTACTAATCAGGACATCGAGCTCTGGATGAACCTTGGAACGTTCCAAGGGGAGATTGATCACTTCTTTTAGTTGATAATCATATATTCTGTAAGTTTATGATTCCATTTTTGTACATGTTGTCTATATATACGGCATTCAACTTTTTGTTCCAGACATTAACATTATAAGTTTATTCAAAAGCCGCTGGTCGTGAATACTAGATCTATCTTCCTTTCTATCCTAATAACTTTTGTGTGTTCTACGCGCTACTATAGAGAGGAAGCCTTTCTTTTATCCTAGTTTTCTTTTTCCTTCTTCACTTTCTTTTCTTTCTTTATTTTATTCGTGTCTTTTGTACACCGACCCTTTAGAACATTGTAATTTTATTTTATTGTAATATCAGAAAAAATTTTCTTTAGATATCAACATCGTTTTTCGCAAATAATTTTATTGTCAAGTAACAAATATAAAAAAGAACTACTATATGGTATTTGGATAATATCATTTAAATTTCAAATAAAAATTACAAACCAATAAATTTTTGTATGTTCTCAAAAAAATTTTTATTTATTTATTTATTTATGAAAATTATATAAACGAAAAATAAAAAATCATGAAAATAGTTTCTGAAAAAATTCGAATTTTTATATAACAAAATCAAAAGAATGGAAATATATTTTTGCTTATAACTTAATCCAAAAATTCTCCCAACTCAAATAAAAATTTCGAAAAATATCTAAAAATTAATACTTGAAAAATGAGTTTACTTGAAATTATTTGAATAATTAAAATAATTAATATTTTACTTTTTATAAAAAAAAATCAAGTCGATTGTTTGGGGATACATCGGTAGCGTTATATGGCGTTAACTTATCAACTCTTAGGAAACAAAAAAATCCTGTTAAGAAAGTATTCAGATACTTTTCAATATAATTAATTGATTGTAAAATTTAAAATTCTCAACCATGCGCTCTTAACAAGATTTCTGCCCATTTCGATTGCCTCCTCAAACTTCTGACAACCAATAAAGTAATCACTTTTTTTCCAAGAAAGAAAAAAAGAATGAAATTCTGCGCAAAAATTTATATAAACACCAAAGATATTCGAAAGATTAATAATAAACACAACTATGCATGAACAATACATAAAAAACATAGGCTGTGATTTTTCATTAGTAATATACAATTGTGCATGTAACGAGATGTGCACCAACCAGTTGGCTCGCACGCTTAACACGTTATCACAAATCTTTAAGCAATCAATCTATCATTAATTATTGATTTAATGACTTTTCCTAATCTTTGCTAATTTTTAAGCTGTTGGATAAATGTTTTGACTTAGCATTAGGGAATAATTGTAATAAGACTAAAGTATCAAAAATAACAGATGTAGAACATCTAACATATGGCATACAATAGTGTCTTAAATTATCTATATACCTTAAAGAACTCCCCAGGATAAATGAATTTAAAATTGTCTTAAATAACCTATAACTTTAAAGAATCTCTATACTGTATAATTATGACGTATTTAACTTAATTACTAACGTAATCCGATAATTTTATTTTCTAGGGTTAAGTTGTGTCGAATCTGCAACAGCCGAGGTAGGAAAGACGCAAGTTTTAACTAGAGTGCACAAAGATAAATGACATTCAGCAACATGTTGTGTTTAAGTCATAATAGCATTATACTGTATATATATGGCTTGACTTTCTACAGACCATTGGAAGGAACTGGGACTTCCGAGTCAACTACAAATAGATTTTCTGTGTATGCGCTATCAGGTAGAAACGCATGAAATTCTGCAGATAAATTTTGGACGTCTGGGGGTTTTATAAGTTAGTTTGGATATAAAAAATTAGTACTGTAAGTAATGATAGAGATATTCAGTGTACTGTGGATTTTTTTTCAACGTACTCGTCCCATAGTATAACGCATGGCTATCGATCCCAAAATTCACTGGTTGATTTACGTGAAAAGGTTTTGAATTCGCGACTGAATATGAAAAAGGGAAAGAAAGAAAGAGTTAAAGGTAAGATAATCGCGTTATAATATTATGTTGATCTATATTCTTTGACTATGTTAGCTATTCAAACATACCGTTATAAGCAGTCGAATTAGAACCACTATGGTCAAATTCAAACGAGTACGGACGGGATTCTTGAGAACACGTTGTAACCGTTGCAGGTAGATCATCCGAGGGTCCCATTAGCCGATTATCGTAAGATCGAAAATACGAAACAAAGGTGGAAGGAAGGATGATGATAGGAAAAATGGGAAAAAAAAATAATACTTCTATATACAATATAATAATAAAATTTTTTATAACGAGATTATGGTTAATTAATTGATAATTACACGTAGGAAAATCAAAATACATACCTTGATCATTCTCATTTTCGGATATACTGAAATATGTTTTATAAGGAGCACAAGAAAGCCCCCTTTCGGCGCATCGCTGACATTGGTCGTTAATACGGCCAGAGCATTTTTTCTTAGCATTATGGCAATTCGTACATGCTCTCGAGTACGGACCTCTTCTCGAAGATCTAAACATAAAATACGCGAATAAATAAGATGTTAATTTGGTTTATCAAACACAATACTTCCGATTCTTTGCAAGAATTACCGTTGCATTTTATTATGGATATAATATCAAGCTATAAAATACACAAATTATCCAAAAACTTTGATGCTTTTTTTTATATCTTTTCTCCACGTGGGATCCTGCGGATAAGGTGGTCGGAAATAATACATTGTGTTAAATAGATCATGTAGTGCGTTTCGATTGTAATCTGGATTCGAATTCTATTTAGTTTGATTCTGATGAATTTAGTCCAATTGCAAATCGTGCCGATATTCTATCTGGGAGTTCCTCTTTCCACCAGAATACGCACACCCATTTGTAATACCTTATGTCGGAAGGGGCGGGTACACTGTGTGAACCCTCCTTTTTGATTTACTTTTATTGGACAGATTGCACGAACTATTTTTAAAATTTGTAAATTTTTGTATAACTAATATATGCAGTGCCAGCAAAAACGGATTAACTTGACAGCGATTTCGTCATCACTTTGTTTTGGTTTTTTAACTATTACATAATTGGTGAAAGTAAATGTCTACAAAAATATCAAATATCAAATATATATATTTTTTTGTTTTTTTTCATAAATAATATTATAATGGTGGGAAATAGCGAGTCGGTCGCTTGTTTGCAGACGACGTCGCGACAGCCAAACCTAATTAACTGTACAGTGCGAAGTTACACTACTGTAGTTCTTCTTCACTTTTTTTATTTAGCAAAAGAGACTATCGATCAATTTTTCGTATTTAGGTCACATGACAATATTGTGGTACTAAAAAACATAACATTATACAAGATTATAACAGATTTGATACTTAAACTGTTAACTTAATTTAATAATAGATATCACAATGTATTTATACATGTTCTTAATTATAAAATTTAAATATTAATATATATCATTTCTATCTCAAGAAAAAGAAAGGATAAAAAACTAGTAACAAAAAGATACTTTGTTTAAAAAAGCCAATGTAAAATGCTAAGGATATTAAAATTAGTACAGTTGGGAGGTGTACGAGATCAAGTGAAAAAGATAATAATGATTTGTTTTATAAAGATCAAGATATTTATTCAATAAAATAAAAATTTAATCCTTATTAATTTTTAGATAAAATTAAAAACTTTATATATATATTTGAAATATAATATTTTCATATATGATAAATATAGTTATATAAAATAATAGAGATATAAAAAAAATGTTATATTCATCAGAACAGTTATTTATAAGTATTAGCATAAAAATAAATGCTTTAGTAAAAATAAGAAAATAAAAATAAATAAGTAAAATAAAAAATATTTTAATGTATCAATAGTATTAAAAGCATAATGTTAAACAATAATATAAATAGTAATATAAAAATTATTTTAGAAAGGGTAATATTTCAAGAATAAATACTAATAAAATTGAATAAGAAATAATAAAAATCTTGAATAAAAATCAAATATAATAATATATGGCAAAATTTTTAATTAAAATTATTTATACAAATTAATATTAAATAAAACATAATAAAAAAATTTTATAATAACAAAAAAAGATTTATTTATATTTAATAAGAATCTCTATTATAAAAAAAACAACAATAAAATATTTTTATTAAAATATTTTGATTATAATTGTTTTTAAAAACAAAATAAAAATAGAAATAAAATTTTTATTTTTGTTCTTATATTATTTTTAAAGTTTTTTTAAAATTTATTTTATTTATTATATAATTTAATAATACCAATTTATAATAATTTTTCTTTTATAATTATTTGAAAATTCAATTTGAAATTTTTTTACTTCAATTTTTTTTCTATTTTATATCTTTTTTAATTTTAATACTTAGTTAAAATAATAACAATAATAAATTTTTTTCTTATAAATAAAACAAACATATAATAGGAAATGTTTTTTTTCATAAAATACTTTTCAAATAATTATCATAATTAATTATTAATTAAATTTTTTATAAAAATAATTTAATATAAAATTTATAACAATAATAATATCTTAAAGTATATATTATTACAAATATTAATTTGTTATTAAATATATAGTATATGTTTTAAAAGTTTTTAATTTGAAAAGATATTTTTTAAATAATTTGCTTTTTATTTATTTATTGTATATTAAAAATTAATCAATTAATTATAAAAATAATTTATTTTTAAAATTTTACTATTAGAGTTTTTTCAATTATTTCAAGTTTTATTAGTTGTAAAAAATATTTTTTCCTTTAAAATAAATAGGTTAAAAATAAAAAAATTTTTTAATTGTTAAAATCTTAAATTAATAATAAAAATTTATCAATATTTGATTTCAAATTCAAAAATAAATTAAATTATTTAAAACATGCTTATTTTGATAATAAGATTATTAATTTAATTATTAATATTTATAATTTATTTAAACAAAATTTAAAAAAAATAAAAATATTGAAAATATTAATAAAATTTAAAAAATAAGTATAATTCTTATAATATAATTATTATTATTATATTTTTAATATTAATAAAGTTATAAATTTAAAAAATTAATTATCAATTAAATAATTTATTATTATTGTCAAATTCCAAAAAAAATAGATAAAAATAGTAAAAGTTAAAAATTAAAAAATTATAATTTAGCTAATTTAATTAATATTATTAAATTTTAATAAATAATTTTGTTAATTAATCAGATTATATTATAATTTTTCTATAAAATTTTTTTATTTTTTTCTTTATTATATAACTTAAGCATATATTATAGTTTTATTTTTATATTTTGTTGTTTTTTTTTTTATATTCTTATAAATAAAATATTTATATAACTAATTTTAATTTTAATAATAATAATAATAAAATTAAAAAATTCTTTTTTAAAAAAATCTCTATATTTTCAACTTGATAAAATTTTTTAATCAATTTCTTATTATAAAAAAAGAAAAAAACATTAACAAAATTAAAAAAAACAGAAGTTACAAATAATATTTATATGATTAATTTTATAACTTAAATTAGTAAAAAAGAAAATTAAAAAAATCTATTCAAACTTAATCTTTTTTTTTAATATAAGAACACTTTTTTTAACTTTTAATATATTAGGAAAATTATTAAAAAAACAAAAATAAATTTAGCTTAATATCAAATTTTATAATTTTTTTTATTTCTCAATAAATAATAAAAAACTTTAATTAACTTATTTAGAAAATGATTTTTTATCTATTACTTTTTTGCTTTCAAAAAAAGAAATGCTAATTAAACAGATATAATATATATATATATATATATTTGCCTATTACTCTAACTTATATTTAAACCAACAATTCTATAGAAATTAATATAGTGTTGGAGTTATAACGGCAAGTCTGTCGCTACGTCACGATTGCCGATTGTATAACGTCGAAAGAGGCATAGAGATGTGGTACGAAATAAGTGAAAATGTTAGATAATAGTCTGAGTTTTATAATAAAAGGACAGTATTTTATTGTTTCTTTTTCTCTAATACATTTCTCTTTTTATATACATGTTAAAAAATCCCAAAAATCCCTAAAATCCCAAAAATCCTTCAAGCCCTAATTAAACCCCAATTGGGTGAGGATGACATATGTTGAATCTATCTAATTTTTCGGTCCCTCTTACAATAGCAACTAATATACAATTAAAATTATTTGATCTGAATTTATCAAATTCAAATAAACCAATTAAACAAATATTACTTCAACTTTTTTTTTTAATAATTCTATAATATCATTTAATTTTAGTATAGAAATTAATAAAAAAAATTTTAATTCAATAATAATTAATAATATTATTGATCTTAATAAATTAGTTAAAACCTCTACTCAATATAAGACTATATTATATATCTGATTATCTTTTATTAAGTAACAAGTTTAAAAAAAATTCAAGAAATTAAAAATATTAAACAATATAAAATATTTAAAGCTAATATTAAAAAACTAGTTTCCAATTTTCTTTAATTTCAAATAATATATAAATTATTATTTAAACTATTAATATTATTATTAAACTTTTTAAATATTTACAATATTATTTGAAAGTAATTATAAACAAAATTAGTTTTAAAACCTATATATTCTTTAGTTTTTTTATTAAAAAAATTTTTTATGCCAGTCTATTAAAAAAAATTTATTAAAATTGAAAAAACTTTCAAAATAAATACAAAAATAAAAATAATTTTTATTTTATTAATTTTGAAACTAACAAAAATTCATATTATAATTATATAATATTATTAGTTATACAATATGATACAAAAATAATAATAATTTTTTTATAATTATATTTTAATTAATAATTCCATAAATAATTTTTTTATAATTTATCACCATTAAATAACTCCTACCATGGAGCAATCACCAACAAACAGCAACAAAAAACAGTTCTTACATGCAACTATTCATCAGGACTGGAACCAACTCTCCCAAATTTATTATCTTGACCTCACCAATAACAAAATTATC